CACCTGCTGTCGAAAACGGGACATGACAAATGAATGAGCTCGTGAAAGAAAGGTGTCATTTTGACTCCCAAGCTTGGTCGAAGACTCTGCTTACAAGTCCAAAAATGCAGGTTCTATCAGGCTTCTCAGCTTTGGTTATGGTTCTTTGACATCTTCATGCTATGTTGCTTCACAGGCATGCACTTGGAAAAAGAGAACCCATTATGACAGCATGATAATTATGTGCGAGAACGTGCAGGATCAAGGTGTCAGTATGATGACTTGAGAATAAGTCGAGGAGTACTAATTTATAATTTACTGACTTTGACATGGTTGAGCCAACAGTGAGCTCTTTGTTGTCAACTGACACTCCCCAACAGTCAGGATTGTTTCATGAACATTTACCACCCGGGTATCCGGTTGTACCCATTTGCAGTGAGGTTTTAACGTCATAAATCAGGCTCATATTGAATTTTTGTTGATGAGGAACACAGCCAACTCACCCAGCAGTGGATGAATTACTCTTTTTATTTTCCCTTGACACTGTGAAGGTGTCATTTAGTTTGACAATGTCCTGAGTAAATTTTGTTTTCGGTTAAGATGATATTTCATATATGTATATATTTTTTTTTACCACCAGGAAAAATACTCAATACAAATGTGATTGCCAGTAGTCCCACGTATTTACTACTATAACGGGCTGGGCTGGGCCGTGCACAATTGAAGTAATTTATGTACCCATGTCCACCTTAATCCAGCGATAATTCCTCTATTTATAAGTGATGTGCCGATGGCAACGGAAATATCAATACCACAGACCTCGGATCTATGTATGCTAATATCAAATATCAAATTCAAATATTTATACTTTTGATACTTCAGACATTTGAGGTAATGTATATCATTTACAGCAACACAGTGGAAAGTAAGTAAACCGTTGAGTTCCTGTCTCAATTATATGTGGTTGGTGAGCATTACTTGTTCTTGCCCGGATAAGTGCGTCATGCGTAAGCGCGGTGGAATGTCCCGGTGCTCAGTCTGTCACTCAGTCTCAGTCTTACACTGCACAATAGAATTATAGCAGAAGGTAAACTGGATCATTTTACGGCCATACCACCCTCCGTATGCCCGATTTCATCCGATGTCGAAAGCTCAGCAGGGGCGTCTCTGGTTAGTGCTTGGATGCGAGGCCGCCTGGGAATACCAGGTCCTGTGAGCTTTGGCGGCCCAGTGGTCCAGTGGTTAGCTCATCGACGTCACAATGCATACAAACTCCTGTGTGGAGTTTGTATGTTCTCCCGGGCCTGCGTGGGTTTTCTCTGGGTACTCTGGTTTTCACCCACATTCCAAAAACATTCATTTAGTTGTCAATGTGCTCTGGTTAGTGCTTGGATGCGAGGCCGCCTGGGAATACCAGGTCCTGTGAGCTTTGGCGGCCCAGTGGTCCAGTGGTTAGCTCATCGACGTCACAATGCATACAAACTCCTGTGTGGAGTTTGTATGTTCTCCCGGGCCTGCGTGGGTTTTCTCTGGGTACTCTGGTTTTCACCCACATTCCAAAAACATTCATTTAGTTGTCAATGTGCGACTGTCGTGATAGTACGTCGTACAATTTAAAACAAAAAAGTATACTTATCTCTTGAAATGTTATTTACTTTTTTCTGTTTTTAATAAATACGTTTTTTTTTTTTTTAATATCTTGAATTTGTAAAAAAATATACATAAAAAAAAAAAAAATCCTCGTCTCACCCCCAATGACATATAGTACCTGACTTCTTCTCCCGCGAAATCAAAAACTTTCACGATGGTGACTTTTGCTGTATCCGATTCCTGTGATTCAGTTCTCATACAAACATTAGAAGCAGAAGGATTAGCCTGAAGAAGAAGAACAACAGATTGTTAGAATATCAAGTAAAGTGAAACTACTGTTCCCTAAATAGACCTCCACAAAAGACACCGTGTTCCAATTCCTCTCCAGAGTTGCTCACGGTGAGAGGCACAGAGCAGCATGCGAGCAGTGGTCTGTTAATGAACTACTGCGCTCATCACAAATTATGTTCAAAACTCAAGCTTGTCCAAATGCGCACTTCGCACCAGGACACCCTCGGACACAGTTTTAAGATCGACTTCAGGGTTGTGTCAGCAGCCTTGCAGCCAATGTCTTGGACACGCAAGTGAAGAGAGGGGTGGAGCTGTCAAGGGATCACCACCTGGTGGTGAGTTGGCTCAGATGGTTGGGGAAGATCCTACCAGGCATATGCGAATGGATTTAGAGGGTCGGCTGGGAACGTCTGACAGAGTCCCCTGTCATCAGGAGTTTCATCTCCCACCTTTGGGATAATTTCCATCATGTCCCTGAGGAAGCACGGGACAGTGCCGCGTCTCCGTTGCTGAAGTAGCCGACTGGTGCTGCGGTAGCAAGGTGGTCAGTGCCTGTTATAGCAGCAATCCTCAAACCAGTTGGTGGACTCCGGCGGTGGGGTATGCCGTCAAGCATCTTCCCGTCGTTCCTAAAGGCTCTGGATGCCGTCCTGGTTGACATATGGCTGTAACATGGTATGGGTGTCAGGCAAAGTGCTTCTGGATTGGCAGGCCGCGGTGGTGGGTCCCCTGTTTAATGCATTCAGTACCAGCCAATTCTGGACCAAGTCTGAAAAGACGTTTAAAAACGTCTTTGGGAGTGAATGAGTTAAGAGGGGGCACATGAGGGTATGTTCCATCTACAGGAGGATCACAATTTTCAGCCACCTGGTAAGGTCTATTCAGGGGTGCTGAAGAGGCGGGACTATCAGAAAGTCAAATAATTGTAATGTGGTTTTTATTCTGGTGGTGGGACAGTGGACCAGCTCTATACCCTCAGCAGGGTCCTCATGGGGCGCATGGGAGTTTGCTCAACCAACCTCCATTTGTTATGTGGAACTGAAGATGATTGGCAGTTTCCCTCAGGGAGTTCTGTGAGGTGGTGCGTCAGGAGACTTGCTTGGCTTGAGACTTGCACAGCATTGAATATGGCTGTTGCACTCTCATTCGTGCTCAGTTTATGATTTGATTTTCAAACAATACACTGGTGTCAAACATTGCATTATTCCTAAATTACCTCCGGTGTGGTGTGAGATGGTGACCCAGCCATCGATGCTTTCGGTCTGGGGGCAACATCAGACAAGAAACGAGCCCAGAGGTCATCGGATTGTTTCTTTTGTGCACCTTTCTCATCATTCTGTACTTGTGCCAGTTTTTCCACATCTTCGGTACCATCACCATTCTTCTCCTCTTTGTCTACTTTAACCACACGTTTTGGTCTCTTTCTGTGGAGAATCACACAAATCAGTTGTTATAATATATACCGTATTGGCCCGAATATAAGACTGTGTTTTTTGCATTGAAATAAGACTGAAAAAGTGGGGGTCGTCTTATATTCGGGGTCTAGACATTATACCCATTCACGACGCTAGATGGCGCCAGACATCATTGAAGCGAATGCTGAACTTGACTCCCCAGGTCAAAGCGAAGCCCTGTCACGAAGAATAAAAATAAAAAGAGCGGTAGCACGAAGAAGAAAAATAAAAAATAG